CATTTCTAACCTTTTTTACCCACGGTATCCTCATCATCCGCCTATAACACCACATTTCGAACGCTTCTAATCTTTTCTTTTCCGCCGCACCCACTATCCATGTTTCGCACCCGTACAATGCCGTGCTCCAAACATACACCCTTAACAACCTTTTTCGAATTTCTAAATTAACCGTTCGCGGGCATAGAAGTGGGTTGCAATTTTTTCACCCGCGAATAATGAAAACGTGAATAAGGAAGTTTTACTGTACGTCTAATAAACACAATTTAAATCTTTTCACGAATGTTACGCTTTAAAAATTCAGCTAGTTTAGAATAGTGAAACAAGCTGTGATATTTCCAGGCAGACGGGGTTGAAAAAGAAAAAGAAAAAATGTGTAATTTCCATGTTCAGAATACGTTTTATTTTACCTGTACATACATGTATATAACCGACGTACATACATATACATAAGGTTCCCTAAAAGCATTCGTTTCATCTAAAGGAGCCTTTATTTCATTTGGTCGTCCCTAATGCACTTCGTCGCAGGTGGCGTTCTCCAGATCAGAGCACTAATGAACACTTCCGGCGCCAATGCACGTACCAAATTTTCTTCGCGGAAGTAACGATAACACATACCTAACCACCTCGACTCTCCTTTAACACACTTCCAAGCACTAGACGGAGTTATCTTTGGTCTTAAAGGGTTATTTTTCTCCACGCTACGTAGAATTTAAAAAAAGACGAACAACTACAGGGAAAATCCGTGTCCTGAGAGTAAAACTACATAAACTAGTTATTCTACTGTCATCTAGTCATGTTTGATTAGAATTCATTCAATTGTAATTGTATTGTAACCAAAAATGAAATTTCAATCGTTTATCAAAACCCAAAATCAATTTATTAGTATGTGGAGACTGCAATAATAACTACATTGGCCAGACGAGAATACCTTTTAAATTAAGTATAAAAGAACACCTCCGTAGCGAGTCGATTGTTCTGACTCTTAGAAAATATAATGCATTTTAGTTAAAAAGAAAAGTATTTTTCATTGTTATTTAAATGAAACGAACTTCATCTGTAGACCGCATTTGTTTCTGCCGATTTTAGCGAAATGTTCCCTTGTTCGTATAGACGAAAACAATCGAGGAGTAAACATGTTATATGTGCNATACGGCTTAAATGTGAAGTTGGGTGCAAAAGAATACAATTAAATCCTCTGTCGGGAAAAAACGAAATGACTTTCCGAACAACCCTATACAAATAGTTGGGCACCGTGTTACAGCTTTTGATTAATGAATAAGTCTTATGAGTATAGTAGCGCAGTTTTAAAAATTCAACCCACTTTCTGATCTCCACATTTTACCGAAAGCAGTTCAAAGTCATTAATTTTGGATTTTCCACTATGCTCCATATAATTTCTTGTAAATGGCCGCAACGATAAATTCTCACTCTGTCCAATGAGCAGAATTTACTATCATCTGAAGATCGACCATCTCGTTGCATATACATTCATAAATTTTTCCAGTTGTAGATGCGACAGAACGGCTTACAGTCAACTAGATAAAACCGCAAGTTTTCCAATAAACTAGTTCAAATTTTTATAGTTGAACCGGTAGCCATCATACGTGGAAAATGTCAAAGTAATAACGCAACAGTTCAAGTTCGCATTCGCAAGTTTTCCCAGAATTTCTAGTCTGAACTCACTCTGAAATTCCGTAGATATTACAGGTTGTTACATATTTTAGTTGTTTCCAAGAAGCCTGGAAAAAATGGGTTTTCTCTAGACATCTTGTATTAAAGTAATAAAAAAAAACAATCTAAGCCTTCCTAAGTGCAGTATTGATGGAAGCACATAAGAATTTGTTTGATATCTCAACACCATCATCATCATAAGATCGTCAGTCCTAAGACTGGCTGGACACGCACCTCCACTCCTTTCTATCCTGAGCTAAACTTCGCATTTCGCTAAAACTAGAACAGCCCACATCCTTAACTATTTGCGACCAGTAATCTAATCTAGGTCTACCTCTACCCTTCCTAACTCCTGTTTCTGCCTCTAATATGTCTCTGACTAGACCTTCATGCCTAAGAAGGTGTCCTACCAACCCATCTCGCCTATTTTTTATTGACTTCCATAGAGTCCTCTGTTCTCCTATTCTTTCCAATACCTCTTCATTTCTAACCTTTTTTACCCACGGTATCCTCATCATCCGCCTATAACACCACATTTCGAACGCTTCTAATCTTTTCTTTTCCGCCGCACCCACTATCCATGTTTCGCACCCGTACAATGCCGTGCTCCAAACATACACCCTTAACAACCTTTTTCGAATTTCTAAATTAACCGTTCGCGGGCATAGAAGTGGGTTGCAATTTTTTCACCCGCGAATAATGAAAACGTGAATAAGGAAGTTTTACTGTACGTCTAATAAACACAATTTAAATCTTTTCACGAATGTTACGCTTTAAAAATTCAGCTAGTTTAGAATAGTGAAACAAGCTGTGATATTTCCAGGCAGACGGGGTTGAAAAAGAAAAAGAAAAAATGTGTAATTTCCATGTTCAGAATACGTTTTATTTTACCTGTACATACATGTATATAACCGACGTACATACATATACATAAGGTTCCCTAAAAGCATTCGTTTCATCTAAAGGAGCCTTTATTTCATTTGGTCGTCCCTAATGCACTTCGTCGCAGGTGGCGTTCTCCAGATCAGAGCACTAATGAACACTTCCGGCGCCAATGCACGTACCAAATTTTCTTCGCGGAAGTAACGATAACACATACCTAACCACCTCGACTCTCCTTTAACACACTTCCAAGCACTAGACGGAGTTATCTTTGGTCTTAAAGGGTTATTTTTCTCCACGCTACGTAGAATTTAAAAAAAGACGAACAACTACAGGGAAAATCCGTGTCCTGAGAGTAAAACTACATAAACTAGTTATTCTACTGTCATCTAGTCATGTTTGATTAGAATTCATTCAATTGTAATTGTATTGTAACCAAAAATGAAATTTCAATCGTTTATCAAAACCCAAAATCAATTTATTAGTATGTGGAGACTGCAATAATAACTACATTGGCCAGACGAGAATACCTTTTAAATTAAGTATAAAAGAACACCTCCGTAGCGAGTCGATTGTTCTGACTCTTAGAAAATATAATGCATTTTAGTTAAAAAGAAAAGTATTTTTCATTGTTATTTAAATGAAACGAACTTCATCTGTAGACCGCATTTGTTTCTGCCGATTTTAGCGAAATGTTCCCTTGTTCGTATAGACGAAAACAATCGAGGAGTAAACATGTTATATGTGCATAGGTTACAGACATTTTGCAAAAACAAAAACAAACAAACAAAAAAAAACAAGTGGGAATGTAATAAACCATAAAAAATCAAAAATTTTCTGTTATGATGCCAGCATTTTATTCGCATCTCAAAATATTTTGTTTTTTATACGGTTCGTTAACTTTATTATGATCATAAGTTTTTTCACTATTCAGGGTCCATGACGACAAATGTGTAGGATTGTTTAACTCGCATTTCATGTTTGCCAGCGAGCATTTCTTCATACATATACCAGGTAAGTCTTTTAATCCGCTAAATTTTTAAATTATCTTTGCGTGATAACTTATTCGCTGCTTCATGGTAGTTGGCTGTGATTTCGTAATTTCCTTTGTACAAGTCACGTACAACATTTATTGCATGAAAATAATACATGTAAAACACGTAACATTACGAGGATACGTATTAAAAAAAATATATCCATATAATTTTGTTTAAGTTAGACCATATTTTTATTTCTAAAAACAATTTATATACATACATGGATAGGGTACCCGGTTTGGATCCGGTACCCGACGGAAAACCGGCCAGAACGAATAGGTACGTGAACAATTAATCGTCGTAGTTTTACTAAAGCTGGGCCCCCGGTTATCCGGCACCCGGCAAAATTACTATCCGGTGTATCTCTAATTATAATTATGTACACTATAGAGGTCGATACATGTATGTATATATATTATCGTGCGGAAATTGGGTCGATAAAGGCTGTTTTTGGCAATCTTCAAAACGTGCTTTCAGACATTGTGAGATTTCTTCAGCGTTAAGGTTTGACCACACGTTGACGGGACGAGTACGGAACGTATGCGAAACCGATACGTATTAGATACAGGGTTTGTTCGGAAAGTAATACGACGGAATTCCTTTCACCGCGACTGTAATTCGGAGCGTGCGCGCACCGACTGGATTCGGTAGAGGGCATTCTTAGCTAACGAACGAGCAGCTGGTGAGTTGTCTCCGAGCACCCGGAGAGTCAGAACTGTAAGTGGTGCAAGCCGAAAATTTAAACATGTGTGAAAGTGACCCCCAATTTTTGAATAACGTAATCACAGGTGACGAGTCATGGATTTTTGAGAATGATCCCGAGTGGCACACGCCGGCGTCTCCTCGCCCAAAAAAGGGAAGAATGAGCAAATCCAAAGTGAAAAAGATGCTCATTGTCTTTTTTGACATGAAAGGCATCGTCTACCATGAATTTGTTCCTCCTGGACAAACCGTCAACGTCAAGTTTTACGTGGAAGTGCTCAAGAGACTCAAACGAAGGGTCAATCGGGTCCGACAAGACATCGCAGCCGACTGGAAGTTGCACCACGACAACGCTGCATCGATGCAGAAGGAGCCTATTTTGAAAGTTTTTAAATAATTGTAACAATTGGTTCAATAAATTTTGTTAAATCGATTCAGTCCTATTACTTTCCGGACAAACCCTGTACACTCCTAGTTTCTAAATCATTCTGTAATGAGCCACATGCATTTGCACACTCGACTCATGAGGAAGTTTTCTCTAATAACTGTCGTGCGCATGTTATCACATGTTTTCAAATTTTACAAATGTCTTAGCTATGATGTAAAGGTCCTTTTTATGCTTCTTGGTATGAAATTTTAATGGCAAATGTTAAGCAAAAGAATCCGTACATTAATTAATTAGTTTATTATATGCAAGTCACCTACCTGTAAAAGTATGAGCAGCCTCTGACAGAATTATGTGAAAAGTGTTCGGCATTATTTTCATTACCAAATTCTTCTAAGGGATCTGACCACAGGAGGTCACACATTGGACCAAAGGCCGGAGGCTCTTTAAATCTGTCTAACTGCAACAAAAGAAAACAAAACGTTATTCGCAATGTTAAGTTGGTCCTCGAGTTAGGGTTCCGTACGTCCGAATGGAAAAGGGATCCCTTATACGATCACTCGTGTGTCTGTCTGTTTCTTTTTTTTTTTTTTTAAGAATACAATGTGGTATATATGACAATTCGTACAAATACTTTCAAGTAATATACATCCAATAAATACAAACTATGGACGATTAATACGTTTTCGTTATGCGCTTACTGATTTAGACAGTTACTGCTCTTTGACTTTAAGAAGTTGATGAGATAAAGAATCACTAGCATCAACGATCGCCTGTTACCAACTTAACAAAGTATTCTGTCCTGTGCAATGCACGGAGATTGTAGATATACAATACCAACTTATTAAATCGAATAATATTTACACGGGACGGTTGCATGATAGTGTGAATCAAGCTTTACACTGACAATTTACCGAATTAGCTCCTTCTTGAGTTTCTTGTGCAGCATTCACATAAGTTGACCCTTGTATTAATTAATATTTAGATGATAGAAATCACGACAATTAGAAAATGAATAGATGAATTAATTGGATGTCAGTTGGGTATAACATGAACTACAATGCTGCAGTGATTCAGTTATGAAGATCTCATCTCGAAAATGGTTAAATGCTTTACCATTTGTGATCTATATCATTGTACTTCAAGTGTTATTCGACGCGAAATTCGAACCTTTCCTTATTTTTATTGTGTAAAAGATTGAGGGGCAACTCTACAAAAAAAAAAAAAGAAATGGAGCTGATCGATTTAAATGGATCTCTGAAAATGACAGATGAAAAGAATTTAAAGATGCTCATTCAACATTTTTCAATTCGAAAAGAGAAGACGTCAGATGATATATAAATATATGATAGAAGTGTGTTATTAAAACGGAAGCACCCATCATATAAATCGTTTATTACTGTAATTGCATGAAGGTACGATTATTTAAAAGAGATTGTGTGTGTCCTACAGACTGTAGGTTATGGTAAGAGATAATTTCATGATTGGCAAATGTAAAGTGCTTTACACATAGGATTTATGTTATATTAAGGTAAGGAAAGGTGTCCCTAGAATAAGTGCTGTGTACCAGGGACTATATTACGGTACTATCGTCATGATTAAAATGTAAATGATACACATCTTAGTACAAATGTGGATAGATTTCACAAATACTATAAAATAAGCTGTTATTATAGTGTAAGTACTATTTATTTATAGAAAAATTACTTCGGTTTTGTCACACGCCATGGATGAATAAAAGTAAATTAAAACACTGGTATGCACGGAAAGAAAAAGCAAGGAGCGATTGTAAAGATAGAAGACGAAAGTGGCTGATTTTTGGTATCTAAGAAGTCAGATAAGTCAGGACGGAAGGAGTAGTAGGGATTTAAAGCAGAGGACAGCGCAAGGTCGAGTCGCCTTCAATAAAAAGAAGTCACTTCTGTGCTCGCGAACGGTTAATTAAGAAATTCGAAAAAGGTTATTAAAGGTGATGTTTGGTGGACGGCGTTGTACGGGTGCGAAACATGGACAGTGGGCGCAGAGGAAAAGAAAAGGTTAGAAGCGCTCGAAATGTGGTGTTACAGGCGAATGAAAAGGATACCGTGGATAGGGAAGGTTAGAAATGAAGAGGTATTAGAAAGAATAAGAGAACAGAGGACTCCATGGAATTCAAAAACAAACAGGCGAAATAGGTTTGTAGGACACCTTCTCAGACATGAAGATCTAGTCAGAGACATATTAGAGGCAGAAACGGAAGTTAGAAGGGGTAGAGGTAGACCTGGATTAGATTACTGTTCGCAAATAGTTAAGGATATGGGTTGCTCTGGCTTTAGGGAAATGCGAAGATTAGCGCAGGATAGGAAAGAAGGGAGATGCATGTCCAACCAGTCTTAGAACTGACGACCTTATGATGACGATGAATCCAGTCATTATATAACAAAAATTGTTTTACAGAATTGAATATAAAATTACTCGAAAATAATAGGTTGTCCTAATGCAAAAATCCTGAAAGGATCTAAGCACGTGGCTATAATATTAACCTATTACACTCCGTTGCTTACGTTGTGTAGCAAACTTGTTTTATTAACCGGGTTCGCGTGATGCAGTCAATACTCTTGGTTGGCATTTGCAACCACAATTAACAGCATTTAATTCGGGATGACATTACCCAGACACTAACTTGACAATTTCACTAAATTGGGAAATAGCGACGAGCAGTCAGGAAATCGTAAATTTCTCGCATGCCTGATCTTAATTAAAATATATTTTGATATATCTACTGTCCCAAAACCTAGTAGGAGTAATAACAAAATAATTACTTTATTTTCCGTTCATTTTCCCATTAACATCATCATCATAACATCGTCAGCCCCGGAGACTAGTACAGGTCAACCTCCACCCCTCTTAACTCCCGCTTCTGCTTCTAATGTGTCTCTAACTAGCCTATTTCTTAATGACTTCCGTAACGTTCTCTGTTCTCATACCTCCTTATTTATATCTAATATTTTATACTCTAAACATCCACCTTTAGTATCTAATCGTTTTCAAATTTCTAAATAAATTGATCTCGAACACTAAAATGACTTCAACCCGGTCCTGCGCTACTCTTTATTTTATATATCTACTGCTATTTCCATCCTCAATTATCTGACTATCGAATATCGAAAACAAACCAATAAAAAAATTAAAAACGAGGCTTTGAACTTTCAAAGAAACTTTGACTTTAAATCTTAACTATGGTAATTTGACTGTTTAGCTTTGAAAAATTATTACTATTTTGTTCGATGTTTCTTTTTAACTCACCATTGTAGTGTTTTCCTGTTTTTTTAATTGGGAGCAAATTGTATTTTTTAATCTATTTTCAATCGAATTTCAGAGTTATTAACCTTTTGGCAATCTAGGTATTCATAATTGAAGTTCAAATTTTCCGACATTACTTATTTAATTGAGTAAGTGACAAACGTCAAAAAAGAAAATCTGTTCAGTGAGAATTTTTTTCATAAAGAAATAAACTTCCTACGGTGGTTTATATATTCATTATATGAACGATATAATAACTCAAAGGAAACTTTAATGATGTTGATTTTCATTTTCCTTCCAGTTTGAAATTTAATAAAGTTCTAAAAAGAGCATGTTGTTATTGACGACAAAAAAAATCACTGAATTAAAAGGTAGTGGCTAGAATAGGGGGTTACGTTTTCAAACAGGACAACAGCCGCCAGGAACAGGAGGTAGATACGGAGGGGAATTGTCCTATTGCTTTTTAAATTACGTTATCGTCAAAAATGTCGACCTCACTATACTTAATTGAATTTGCGAATAGTGTATCATACATCAGGACAGAATGGGGTGGAAAACAGGGATGAGTATTATACAAAAATTATTGCAAAACAAACATAAATGACCCTATGATGATGAAGACACAAAATTATTCTTTACTCATATTTGAAATCAAGAAAAGAAGGACATTCTTAGAATTGTATACGCATAACAATGTTGTAAACCAACCATCTTTTGTTAGCTATTGTTATTGCACCCCGAATTATTTAATTATTAAATTACAGTAAACTCGAACAACGTGAAACGGTTTCCAAAGGCTCCAGATGAAAGTATCCACCACTGTATGTAATAGCTGGTTTGTTTCTATACTCCACGCCTAATTAATCATTTCGTTGTATGTACACATATTTTCAAAAGTTTACAGTGAACTGGCGCGGAAATATCACCTCGGGGTTTCTAAACACTGTTATTTCTGCTCGGCTGGTTAATATAGGTACGTATACTAGGGTAAAATTACACGTATGCATCTCCCCGTAAACTGTCTTTGATTCGTTTTCAAAGAAAACAATGTACACTAGGGATATGTTACTTTAAAAAACAATAGAATGCCACCAGTTTCAAGCGTAAGCAGCATTAAAATAAATCCTATTTCATTCAATTCATATTCTTAAATCACTTATTTAAGCGGCTAATGAATATTTCCGGAAACTTCCCGTAAGTTTCTTTTGTCTTGCTGGCTTGCAATGCGGCAAAGGCCGCCGGGATCGATCGCCGCCTGCGGTATTTGCTCATTACATCAATGTATTTTATTATGATTCTGTTTTCCTTCAGGGATATGAATCGGTAATGATCAAGTATTATCTCAGTATTTTATAGGGACGTTTTTCAAATAAATAAAGTTTATGACTTTAAAGACGATTATTCCTTCTGGGCCAAGGATTTACACATTTATGTGTGAAACTGAAGTCGATATCTCTATGACAGACGGGCGAATAGACAGCCGAACAGAATTGCCACAACAACGGGATTCTGCTAGGCCTTTCGGCTAAAGAACCCTAAAGATTAAGCGGTCACCTGGTCATCCTTTTTAGGAAAGAAATCAATAGCATCAATAAAGAGAAAAACAACAGAGCTATGATAGAACGAAATAAAATACGACCTAGGTCGTTTTCCGATCAACCGACCACCACCTACTTCGACTTCATTGCGTTTTTCCGGTTTGTTTGCACTTCCGAACGAAGTATTTACTTTTTCCCCATTCGACTCGCTCGCAGTCTGGTCAAAGTTTATTTTTGTCAGACTTCGTCGTTCTTATTATCGTTCGTTCATTCGTTCTTTCGTTAAACTTGTTCGGGTGGCTTTTCAACGAAACTAGGGTACCTACATACAGTTTCCATTATTTTCTTAGACCAAATACTCATTTATATCGTCATATTATGTGGCTACTCAAGCAATTATTGTTTATTAATATTTATATCTGTCGATTGTACTTGTGATTTCTCTACTTAAAATCAACGTTTACTATTATATTTACATATAGACAATACGTAATAACGCGTATACATATTTACATATACACAAAACCGTGCGACAAGAGGAACTTACGAGAAGTTTCCGAAAATAATCAAGAACATTCCATAGCCGTACAAATAAATGACGATTATCCAATGGGGCACAGTGGATAAAAAAAGAAAAGTG